TTACACGAACATGAGGATCTTTACAAGAGAGTGAAGTCTGAAGAAGTGGCCAAAGCAAGATGCTTTTATACTTTTTAGATAAAGAGCGATAAATTTAAGAAAAAACGACGGGACAAAGATAATCTGGCAACAGGCAGTAAATTTCCCAGGGGAGTCACTAGGCGGTATGGGGGGTGTCAAACTAGTGGAAGACAAGGGTTATTCATTAAGTATATTTGTTTCGGTCCGTTGCGGCCTCCGGTTCCCAGTCTCTGGGGATAGGGCTCTTTCTTCGCCCTGGTATGGCGAGGGTGCCCTTCCAGGAAGCTTTATGGCTTGTTTTGTTAAGAAGAGACACGTCAGCTCACCCTTTCTGAAACTACAGTTTCTCCAATATTATCAACTCAAAATAATCAATATACCAATCTGACATATTTGGGATGGCACATCCTTCACTCCTTCATTTCCTTGGCTTGGAACTTCACTAGACGTTTTCGAACATTAAAATCTGAGTTGCTAGCTGTGGAAAGAAGAGTTGAGTTAGTAGCTCTATCGCAAGGAATCTGAAAAGGGAGAGAAGAGCATCGATTAGGGGAGTGGACAAACAGAAGAGAACAATCTAAGCACAGTTTCCACACTGCAGCAAGCCAGCCTCCCCTTGTTGGGAGGAGGTTTGTCCAAGAAAATGTTTTAGCCTCACTTATTTCATGAAAAACATTCGTCTTGTCTTTTAAGACATGTCAATTAGACTCTATATGTCCAGAACAATTTACATGAAGTCAGTATATTTTCTTTTCATTCTTTTTTCTTATTTATTTATTTATTTATTTATTTTTGAGACAGGGTCTTGCTCTGCCACCCAGGCTGGAATACAGTGGCATGCTCATGGCTCACTGCAGCCTTGACCTCCAGGGCTCAAATAATCTTCCCATCTCAGCCTCCCTAGTAACTGGAACTACAGGTGCATGCATGCCACCACGCCTGGCTAATTTTTGTATTTTCTGTGGGGATGGGGTCTCACTATGTTACCCAGGCTAGCCTCAAAATCCCAGGCTTCACCAACACTCCTGCCTCAGCCTCTCGAAGTGCTAGGATTACAAGGATCAGAAGCGTGAGCCACCACGCCTGGCTAGCCTCTCAATATTGAATAGAACTCTGCCCCATTGGTGATCAGGTGACCACCCAGGTCCTGGAGCCTGACCATTCCTGCCTCCTTGTATGAACAAGGGTAGTGGCTGGCCCCTCTGCTTCTGCAGCCCCCTTGCTGAGGCGGCTGGTTGCTCTCAGAGCTAGCTAAGGTCACCAACTTGGTTTTGTGGGACATGCACAAGCCCCAAGTAGCCATGCGCTGCTCTGAGAGGGCTCACCCTGCCTTGGGCCAGACTCCATCACTGGCCAGGGCCACAGCAGTCTTGGTTTCCTCCAAGGTCATGGCTGGAGTGCCCATGGCACCCCTGGTCTCTCTCTCCTACAGGGGCTTCATTTGATGCTGGGCTGGACACCTCTGGATTTCAGGCTTGGGGCGTTTGAGGGGGCTGTGTCCCATAGGAGGTCAGCATGAGGACATAGGACATGCTGCTGGCTGGCCAGAGCTATGAGGATGACACACACACCCTCCCCTCCAGAGGCCTCCAAGTCTCCAGCTTCCCTGTGGATGCTGGTTTCAGCTGGCTGAGGGGCTGTCTGGGGCTTCCAGGCACTTGCAGGGTAGGCTGCTGTCCTGGCTCCTTCCAGACCACGGAATTCCATTGCAGTAACTAACCACCAAACAATGAGTGGTTTGTCCTGGGCTGGGGACAGGCAGGCCAGACCCTGAGCCCCTAGGGCCCCCAGAGAAAGGCCTGTGGCCCCAGGCTCTTTGGAGACCCCCTGGTGCCACTGAGGGCCTCAGCCATGGGGATAGCCCAGCCAGGTGAGGGTTGGGCAGGACCAGGCTCCTGTTTTCCTGGGACTACCCTTATGGGCTGCTAGGCCAGGGAGAGCCAGCCCATGCTCTCTGGGGAGGGTCTCCAGGCTGGGGGAGGCCAGCAGAGGCCTGGGGGCTGAGACACTCGCTCCAGGCCAAGGGCCATCCTGGGGACTCTTCAGGTTTCCCTGAAAGGAAAGGAGGCTCGGTCGGCTTCTCCACCCAGCCCATCTGACCCTCGCAGGGATGGGTCCCATGGACCTGGATCCCTGGAGTCCTCGTGGTCCCTGCATGGCCCTCCTGAGTGACACTGAGGACACTGCTGCGGGCCCTGATCCCAGAGCGAAGGGTGTGTGCCATCCGGGGAGGGGAGATTTCGGGGCATCTCAGGCTGCTCCTGGGACGGCCCCATGGGGTTCAGGTGGCTCAGTCTCCCTGATTCACACCCTCGCCCTCACCTCTGCTTCAGCCCTGATTCAGAGCAGGTGGGAGAGGCCTTAACTGTCATCCAACCCACTTGCCACCTAACCTGGGGCCTCTCTCCACCGTGGGTAAGATGCCCCCAGGGCACTGGGCTCCCCCTGTCCTCTGGAGCCCCCTCTGCCCTCTGTCCTTTCCAAGCCGGGCCTGGACCGTTCCCACACTCAGTGGAACCCTCACTTCTGCCCCTTGGCCCAGGGTCCCACCTCTGCCCTTTCCCTGAATCCTGGCTCTGAACACTGGTTCTCTCTACTCTGTGGCTCAGGGCTTGTCCTGACCCCCTTGGAGGGGTGCTCAGGAGTGAGGGGTCCCTGTTGCTCTCTGGGGGGCTGCTGCAGCTCCTGGATGGGTCTGAAGGCTCCTGTGCCCTTCAGGTGGCCCTCAAGGGTGTGGGGGAGGGGCTCAGTGGTGTCCGGCCTACATCCCCCATCTCCTCTTCGAGGCATATCCAGTAGCCTCTTGGTCAGCACCTGGCCGGAGGCTGAGCCAGGAGGGGCTCGGTGGTGTCCGGCCTACATCGCCCATCTCCTCTTCGAGGCATATCCAGTAGCCTCTTGGTCAGCACCTGGCCGGAGGCCAAGCCTGCCTGGTTTTCGGAAGCTTCTTGGAGTACAGGAGGAGGAGGAGAGGAGGAGGAAGGCCTAGGAAGCAGAGCTTGGGGTACCCCAGGCACTCCCCACTGTTTTCTGCTCCAGATGGTGAAGCAGGAGGGCACCTCAGGCTGGAGCCCCCTGGGGGCGGGTTGCACTTTATTCTTTGAAGCTGTGCCAGGGAGGCCTGTGGGTGCCTCAGCACCACGTGTCCTTCCGGGCCTAGGCCTGGGATAGCATGTTCTATAGAAACCCATCCAGGGACAGCCTCAGGAGGTGTTCTAGGCATGGGGGTGGGCATCAGGCTGGGAAGGGCCCTCTGGGAGGGGCCAGTGCCCAAACCCTGCTCCCTCCCCGGTGCTTTGCACTGAGCAGCTGCTGGATCACCTGCCCTTGGGGGTACAGTTGTGCACAGGAAGCCACAACTGGTGGGAAGCCTGGCCAGGGAAGCACCCACCACACTCCTTTTATCTGTGTTGTGTCAGTGGTGAGCCTGGTGTCTGGGAGGACCCGTGGTGCCCTGCCCAGCCCACCAAATGGGGCAGGGACAGAAGGCACTATGGCTTTAAGTTGCCATCACTGGGCCAGTGTAGCCATCACCTGGCCCAGCTGTGAGGCCCCATGGGCAGCTGTCCATCCACAGCGTCTGGCAGGTTTTTGCTGGTCAGCAGCTGAGCCAGTGCCAAGAAGGCCTCTTTCTCCTTGGGGAACATCAGCAGGACAACAGCGACCTGGCTCACACCCTGGCAGTAGCCCATCTCCTGCAAGAGTCAAAGTCACTGTGCCAGAACCTCACGTGGCAGGGCAGAGGTCACTTGGGAGGACAGACCTCACCTGAGAGATCTGAGGTCACCTGGGAGGCCTAAGGTCACCTGAGAGGCCCCCACCTCAGGCCTTGCAGGATTTGACACTAGGCACCCTTCTCCTGACAGAATAGACCCGAAGCACATAAAATAAAGCCTGCTGCCTAGAAAAGAGACAAAAGACTGTTGTGTTTGTCTTGTGCTAATGCTGTTTAATTTTGTAGCAAACCGTGACAGTGCTGGTCTGAAACTCCTGGACTCAAGTGATCCTCCTGCCTTGGTCTCCCGAAGTGCTGGGATTACAGGCATGAGTCATTGTGTCCGGCCACCTGCTCATCTTTCGTTGAGATTTGGGCATCTGAAAAAACAGCCATCTCTCCTAGCCTTTATAGACTGGCTTTGTGAAAAGGAACAGCATCACACATTAGTTTAGCTGGAGATCTTGGGGACCTCTTGAATCTTTTCTAGGGATGTAACTTCTCTGGGTTTGTGTAATTTCCTGAAGAGGTTTGCCCGTTTCTTTTTAAGGAACTCATAATTTCTTGCTCCCCTTGGTATCTGTTTACGATACTAGCTCCTGCAGTGCTGTAACAAGGCTATAGCTCTCACATTTGTTCTCAGCAGCCCCCAGTCATCCAAAGTACGACACTGTTCCTGTCAGCGCTCCGAGTCACATGAACAGAAATCCGTCCTGTGGTCAGCCCCACTATAAGCCAGAACATGGGACATACATTCCACTCTACTCTTTCCCTCTTGAGAAAGAAGGTGCAAGTGGGAGATACCTCCAGATTGTGCCGCACTGTGCGTGGTACTGGGAGAACCTATGGTATGCAAACGTAATGGACTTTCTCACCTGCTTCAAATCAGCTCTTCTTGCTTCTACGTTCACCTGGGGTATTGCAACTTTTTAACTCATTTCTGAAAAGTTCTCACAAAGGCAATTTGGTCCATATAGTGTTAAGTCAGTGTCTCTATGGGAGAATGAGGGTCTGGGGCTTATTTTTTTTAGTTTTTAGTTTTTGAGACGGAATCTTGCTTTGTCGCCCAGGCTGGAGTGCAGTGGTGCAACCTCAGCTCACTGCAACCTCCGCTTCCTGGGTTCAAGCGATTCTCTTGCCTCAGCCTCCTGAGTAGCTGGGATTACAGGAATGTGATACCATGCTCGGCTAATTTTTGTATTTTTAGTAGAAATGGGGTTTCACCATGTTGGCCAGGCTAGTCTCAAACTCCTGACCTCGTGATCCGCCACCTCAGTCTCCCAAAGAGATGGGATTACAGGTGTGAGCCACCATGCTCGGCAGGGCTATTAACATTTTGCCATCTTGCTGATGTCACTCACCACTGTTTTTTCATCACTTTACTTTCTGTTACTACAAGATGTTCCAGACTCATCTCGTACATTCCCAGCTCCAGCTCTAGAATCAGCGATTTTTCCCAGGGAAACCTAGTTCCCTTCACGGGAAAACTGCTTTAGGAACCACGATCTCAGTGGGGTTGCTGCCACTTGGTAGAGCACATGACCCAGTAACTCCCTAAAAGTACATGGGAGATAATTTTAAGACCTAACTCATGTCTGAAAATGTCTTTAACTTCGTATTTGTTTGATAATTTGGTTGTGTAGAATACAGTTAGAAAACTTTCCCCGAAGAATTGGGGAGATTCTCTTCTTGCCGTGTTGCTGAGAAATCAAATCCTTACTAAATTGTTCTGTGCTCCCAGAGGTTGAAAAGAAAAATCCTTACTAATTGCTAATCTTTTCTATATCCCTTTTGCTTTTTTCTTTCTAGAAACTTAGTCTTCTCTTTATGTTCTGAAATTTCTGTTATGTGCCTTGGGAGTGAGTCTATTTTCATGCATTGTGCTAGACATTTGAAGGTATCTTTCACTCTGGCTGTAAGTTCTGCAAAATTTGTTTACATTATAATTTTCTGACCTTATTTTTCTTCTTTCTGGAATTCCTACAATTTGGATACTGGAACTCCTGGACTCTAACTTATGTACAATATCTCTTTTCTCCCACCTTATATATTTAATCTATCTAGCATTTGGAAAATTTCAAGACTATTTTCCAATGATTTTTTTTTCATTTATATTAAGTCTTATATTAACAGGAACATGTTTTTTCTCTTGAGATTTTCATGTTTTGTAGCATTGTTATTTTATAGATGTAGTATCTTGTAACTCTAAGGATACTAACACATTTGGCAGGGGGAATGTTCTTCTCACTGCATCGTTTGATTCCTCAAAGTTGCTTTGGTTTTCTCTTTGGTTTTGGATTAGAGGCTTTCACTACATCTCTGGTAATTCTAGATGGGAGTCTCCTGAATAAGAGTTGGGGGCTAAACACTGACCTGAGTATGGGTGGGACTTCTCAACTTCAAAGTTCATTGTTCAGAGTGAGCCTTTTTCCCAGGCAATACTTGGTGTCAATCTTTTATATTCTTCTTTGGTATAGTGGACAGTATATATAAAGCCACTTAATCTTGTTTCCAGTACAGTACTGTGTGTAAAGGAATTTGGCCTTGCCCTTGGGATGTTATGCTACAGAGGAATGCCTTTGTTTACCTGGGGATCCTGGGTCGTAATGAATAGCCCTGACAATATGATTTATGGCTGGGGTGGGACAAATCTATATAGTCTTATAGTGGTGGGGTACAATACATCAGACATACCAACAATGTGATTCAGGATGGAGGTTTTGGGTCATGCACTATCAGCTGACCTAGAGACTGTGATTAACCACATGGACAATCAATGATGGATACGTAAAGCAGCCTCAATAAACACTCTGGGTTCCAGGGCTGGGGTGAACTTCCCTAGCTGGCAATACTCTGCATGCTGTCACACATTGATGCCAGTAGAGTACTGCTTTCTGACTTCAGAGAGACAGGACAACAGCTGTGTTTGGTACTTCTCCTGGGCTCTGCCCTCTCCTCTTCCTTTGGCTGATTTCGATCTTTAACATTTCCCTGTCATTAACTGTAACCATGAATACAAAGCTTTCATTGAGTTCTGTGAGTCCTTCTAGCAAATTATCTAACCTGAGGGTTGGTTTTAGGAATCCTCCAGGCTTAGAAGTACTCGCCTTCCATTCACTCTGACTTCTGCCAACCAGTCCCTTTTTACCTTCCAGATGCCAACTGTGCGGGGGTGGAGTTGGGGGTGGGAATAAAGAGAGTTGCTTAGCAACATGGAAATGGGAGAAGCCATAAGGCTTCCCAGTGTTGATGCGATCTTCCCTATTTCTGGGCCTCTTCCACCTTTCATCCCAGAGGTAACTGGTGCTGTGAATTCTGAAATGTAAATAAGTTTATTAGTTTCTCCATTGATTTAGAATTGGGGTTTCCTGGGTCTACCAAGTTAGTTAACACCATCTATCTGCTTTCCAACTCCCCAAATTCTGGTTGTTTCCTCTATTTTCTCCAACTTGTGGGTTTTTGTGTGAATGCATCTGCTGTAGCAGCCATAGGGGTGCATCATTCAGATCTCCCTTCAAAGTTATCTGATGTGAAGAGTGCAGTTGGTACTTTCAGATCCATCAGGGCATTTGTGCAAAGGCCACGCTCCCCTTGGTCTCCTCCCAGACACTGACTTGAGGAAGTCAGCGGAACAAAGCTAGGCTATTTCTACCCAATTCTGAACTCTACTAAAAGGAATCCTTGCCTGGGAACTCTCCATTGGGCTGACCGACTTTGTCTTAGAGTTGCACTGCAGTCTGAGTTTTTGCTAATCAATCTTTGTTTTCTCTTGTTACAGGTGTCAGACCCACACTGGAGTCTGAAGGCTCTCTTGACCTACACCTGCTCCATCTCTGGTTTATCCTCCAGTTGTGTTTCCTCTAATAAATTCTTGCACATCTAACTTTGTCATGTCATCTGCTTCTTTGAGGACTCAAATTATCACCCAGAATTTTGGGAAGAAGTTTTATTAGATATCTAGTCCACTGTCTTAATACAGAAACCACCGTGAAGTTTTTATGTTCTTCAAAGATTACACATTTCAAGTTTCATCTATCTGTGGGAGAATGAATTACTTTCAACAGAGTTATATCTGAGTTTGTTTATTGTTCTGATTTACTGAAACTTAAAATATTCCATCAAATTATCCAGGAAAATCCAGGTGGCAGAAATATATAATATGTCCATTTCATCAAGAGGTCTCAAATTTTAAGAGGCCAGAAAATGATATATATACTATGCCATTTAAATCACTTCTACCTTCTATACTGAAGAACTCAAGTATAGAAATAAACTGTGGTGCTGAGGTAACACTGTAACCTGCTCCCAACATGACTGCATAGGTGTCTAAGGTTAAGTGTGAAGATTACTGTGAGGTCTCAAGTTACTTAACTCATCAATCCCATTTGTATTTCAATCCAAGCAGCATATTTTACATGCACCTGAAGGAAACATCTTCAGTGTGTTCATGTGTGTGTCTATGTGCACATATGTGCAGGGGATGGGTGTAATCAGGGAAAGGCTGACTGAACAACACTGAAAGGGCATGCTAGAAGTCTGCTGTTGTTGGTAATACAGAAACATACACAGTCTTCATATTCAAAGTCTTCACGGGGATGTCTTCTGTAATTTCTAGAATGGAAAGAAAAAGTTGAAAAAAAATCAGTATTTTACCTATTGGGGGTGAATATTTAAAAAAAAGTTAACTGCTGTGTAGTAAGGAATTTGGCTTTAACCTAAGAGTTCTGCCCTTTGCCCCAGCTCCTGAGTGGAATCTCTAAATCCTTGGAATTTCTTAGTAGGAGTCTTTGTTTCTCATGGTGGGCACGTTCACCAAACCTGACAGTTGTTGCTAATGAGGTGATTCAGTGTAGTGTTGGCCACGACAGAAAGACAAAGTATACGATTTAGGATGGGGACGCTGGGTCGCATGGTATTATCAGCTGAGAAAGACAGCAATCATGCCTAGAGAATGAAACCTCAAAAGAAACTGGCACCAAGGCTCAAGTGAGCTTCCCTGGTTGGTACTACAGTCTCTGTGTTGTCAGATTAAGGGATGGCAGAAAGAAACATTATCCGTGACTCCAGGGGTCTCTCTCTCGCTCTCACTGCTTCTAATGTGTATCCTTTCCCTCCCCTAATTCAAACCATGAGTGTAATACCTTTCCGTGAGTCTGAGTCCTCCCAGCAGGTTACTGAACCTGAGAGTGGTTTAGGAAAATCCCTGGAACTTGCAGTTGGTGCCAGCAGTGATGGGGGTCTGACGTGGATCCTTTACTGAGTTCACAGAACCCTAACACTGTGCAGGTGGAGTCAGATTTTGGACAGACTCCTGGAGCCTTCTGGAGGACTATGCCATCACCTCACAGTTTGGCTAACTCTGGGTACTGCCAAGATGGTTGTTTTTCTTCATAAACAGATACTTCCTATGTCTACAAGAAAAGCCCAGAAGCTGTGCCAACTCAGTATCCCAGATATGTGGTTTCAAAATATGATTCTCTATAATTTGAAGAACAGCTATTTTCTATGTCTGGAGAAGTAAGAGTACATAATAAGCCTAGGACATGTTTGCTATGTGAGAAAGCAAGAATTTACCAAAGACACAGGATCATGTTAAAGAATACAGGATCCAATATGGCCAATAAGGAAAACTCTGAGCATCCAAAAATATAACCCAAATGCAATTGATTAAAACACAGTGAATATACCATTCAAAAAGAAAACAAAGAAAAGAGAAAATTAAAGTTATCTGCCTACTGTGGAGCATTTTGCTTCTAGTCAGATCTGAATTTAAAGCAAACAGATGAGCTTTCTTTAAAAATAGCTCTTCTCCTACCTAGCAGGCAATCCTAGATGTGAGAACACTCTCAAAGCTACTTCCTTAATAGATAATCACAGGACCTGGAGATGATGTTTAGAGTTTAGTGGAGCAAGCAAGAACACATGTAAGAGTTTCTAAAATGGTCAACATTTTGTGGCTCTTCTAATTTATCAAGTTACTGATACTTTATGAAAGACAATTCTGAGAGAAAAGGCATAATGAAAATGAAGCTACAGATACTAGATTAGAAAGATACTGAATTAGAAAAAGTTCCATCTTTGTGGTAATCTTAGGTAAATCACTAAACCTTTAAAAGCTCTCACCTAAACTTTTGCCTAGCTAACATCACAGAGTAAAGAGAATTTCACAGAAAGGCAGCAGAGAATACAGAAAGGTTATGTGAATTGCAGGTAGTATTATAAATACATAATTCACACAGACACGATTCTACCCCTGACCAGCTTCAATCATGCCACTGCATTTACTTGCAAGAACAAGTGAGAGACAAATGTCATCTTCAGCTCCACTGCACAACAGTACTTGGTGACCAATGGATCTGAGAGACAAGAAAAGAGTTATGAATTACCTCTAAAGTTTTATATAAGCTTATCAAAATAGAAAGCTACAGTATTAGATGATCTACTACCATACCACAATGAAAGAGCCAAGTGTGTTCGAGGGAGAGTGAAAAAAGCCTTTGATAGAGTGAAAGACTCATGGACAGAATTAGCAAGACAGGAAAGGACAGAATCACCAGAGCAGGAAGGATCTTGGGTGGAAGGGAAGATTCTGAAGCATAAGAGAATACGGAGCTTTGGGAGCTCTAAGCGAAGGAACAAAATCGAGGCAGGAATGTTCATGAAGACAGCTCCGGCGGAAGAGTACAGCCTGCAGACTGGTGACTTTGATGGACGATGAGGCCCGAAACTAGATAAGAGGGAAAACGACCAAGGAGAGTCACTGGAAATAAACCCAGGGAGGGAAGGAGGAACCCAAGAAGAAACAGAGCTTTAGTATTTAACATTATGACAGAAAATTTACAAGTATGATATGCAACTAAATTAAAAAAAAAATAGCTGCACAGGAAGAAAATGGGAGAATTCCACAGGCCAAAAATAATGAATATGGGGTCTGGTGGCCTAATGCTTTGGGCACTAAAGAGCTAGGAAAGCAGGGAAAGAAACGCCTCCGGTGTATACACACTGGGAAGTCCAACAAATCTCTGCTGAAGAAACTGGAACTTCCAATAAGAAACCCATAGCAAAAGGGTCGGTCTGAGTAAGTGCCTTCACCACAAGAGAAAAAGTGAAGAGAATGTAATCGGTTAATAATGGCCTTTCAAAGATACACCCAGGTTCTAAATTCCCAGGAGCTGTGAATGTAACTTTATTTGGAAAAAGAGGAAACAGAAGAGAAGGAGGCAACGTGACCATGGAGTCAGAGACTGAAGTGATGTGGCCACAATTTAAGGGATGCCTGGAGCCACCAGAAGCTAGAAGAATAAGGAATTCTCCCACAGAGACTTCAGAGAGACTGTGGCCTTTCTGACCTCCAAGGCTGTGAGAAAACAAACCTGCTGACTTGAGCCACCCCATTTGTGGAAATCTGTTGCAGCAGCCACAGACACCAATACAGAGAGAACCGCCTCACTTAGCTTTGTTTTGCAGTAGGGATATACAGATCCTGTCTCCATCAGAACTCCTGGCCTTTGTGTATGACTGGGAAAGTCATAGCTTTTTTTTTTTTTTTTTTTTTTTTGAGACGGAGTTTAACTCTTGTCGTCCAGGCTGGAGTGCAGTGGCCAGGCTGGTCTTGAACTCTGCCCACCACAGCCTCCCAAAGTGCTGGGATTATAGGAGTGAACCACCACGCCTACCCAGTCAGTCACAGCTTTCTTAACATTCTCCCTATGGTCCAAAATAATTGAGTTTAAAGTGGGTCTGGGTTGACAGTGTCTCCAAGGGACTAGACATATGCTTCTTAAAACTGGGCTTCAACAGAAACATAACAGAACAAGCAAAGCAGATGGGCAATGTAAACAGAAAGATGGAAACTCTAAGAAAGAACAGAACGGGCTGGGTGTGGTGGCTCACGCCTGTAATCCCAGCACTTTGGGAAGCCAGGAGTTCGAGACCAGCCTGGCCAACATGGTGAAACCCTGTGCCTACTAAAATTACAAAAATTAGCTGTGCATGGTGGCACATGCCTGTAATTCCAGCTACTCGGGAGGCTGAGGCAGGAGAATCACTTGAATCCAGGAGGTAGAGGTTACAATGAGCTGGGATCGTGCCACTGCACT